CCTGTCCCCAGGCACCGGCTCTGCCCCTGCTCCCCCCACCCCTGCCCCCTGAAGCGCCTCCGCCTGGCGGTACCTCGCTCTGCGGCTGCGCTGGCTCGTCTGGGTTTTCTGTCACTTGTTTACCAAGCACTTGTGAGGCGGCCGTGCCCTGGCACTTCCTCTTCCTCCTCCCGCCTCCGCCACCGCCTGGGGAATGAAGGCTGGGGACGCGGCCCGGGCAGAGGTGGGGCACCCGCTGGGTCTGAACCTGGCCCACCTGCAGCCCGACGCCCTCCTGGCCCTGTCCTGGGAGGGGCTGGTCAGCGGGTTCTGTCCGCAGAGTCTGCGGCCTCCGGAGTGTGGACAGCCGCACTGCTCCCAGGCCAGGCCCTGCAGGAGCAGCTGGCTCTCCTGGGAAGGTTCCCTGGAACTGTGGGCAATCACGCTTCCCCTTTTCTTCACAATAGAGAGGCCTCAGGCCCAGCCCGCGTGGCTCAGAGGTTGAGCGTTGACCCTCGTCCCCGGGAGGTCTCAGTTCAATTCCCCAACAGGCCACACGCCCTGGGTTCAGGCTCAATCCCAATAGGGGGCGTGCAGCAGGCGGCCGACCAGGGATTCTCATCATTGATGTTTCTCTCTCCCCCTCTCCCTTCCTCTCTGAAATGTGTACAGAAAGAAGGTGCCCCAAACTCAAGCAACCACCAAAGCTGGGCTCTGCCCAGGTTCCCCGCACCCCCCACCTCCATCCGTCAGACCCTTGTCCAGCAGGAAACAGTCTTCTTATTCAGCAGGGACAGGTGGCCATGGGACAAGTCTCCAAGGGGATGGGGTGGTCAGGGAGGCTTCTTGGAGGAGGTGGCAGCGGAGACCAGGAGCAGGAGAGGGTGCGCACCCAGAGAGGGGCGATCTTCGCAGGCAGAGCCCTGCCTGGTGCATGGTGCCCAGCACCGCACCGCCATACCCCACAGATGCAGGAGAGAACTCGGCACGCAGCCGCAGTCTGCGGGACAGACAGCTCCCAGCACTCCTCCCGTGGCAGACGGGAAGTCCACGTGGGGCTGCGCTGGTTGGAGGGGCCAAGAGCTGTGTCTTGGGGGGGGGGCAGCTTGGGTGGCTCTGCCCTGCCTTGGCCCTGGGCCCCGTCGTCCAAGTGCCCTTGTGGAAGGAGGGAGTCTGCCTAGGTGGGCCCACCAGCACCCGGCCCTCTCCTCAGGCTTTGGGCGGCTCTGGCAGGAGCTGTGCTCTGACCTGGAGTCAGCTCAGCTGTGTTTTCACGGGACAGCAGAGCGGCCACCTTGGCTGGTCTTGCGGGGGCCCCACTGTGGGAAGGGGCCCCCCACCACAGGAAGCTTTGTCCCCAGCCCAGTGCAAAGCCCCTGCAGGGTAAACTGTCCACTCTGTCCCTTTGGGGC